ACCTGGAACTACAGGTGCGCGCTACCACGCCCGGCTAATTTTTGATTTATTGTAGAGATGAGGTCTCGCCAAGTTGCCCAGGCAGGTCTCGAACCTGCAGGCTTAGGCAATCCACTCACCTCAGTCTCCCAAAGCGCTGGGATTACAGGCTGAGCCACCGAGCCCGGCTTCCCTTGCTTTATTAAATAATACTGTCAGTTATTCAAAGTCATGTTGGATAATTAGTGTCACTAATTGTTAAGTTGCAGCTCTTTATTCATCACAATCACTTGGCCAGAGCCTAGCCTACCCATGCATTGCTCTCTAGTCTTACTTGTACTGCTTTCTACATTAAGTCGTGGTCACACTTTCCCAACTGTTTTCTTGTTGGGCTGTCATTGTTGCTACTGCAACCCAGAATACAGTCTCTGTAAAGTAATATTGGCATATTCAGCTGCTATTAAGGAAGCTTTGAATGAGAAATAACTCTTTAAATTGAAAATATTTGAGTATGTTTTCATTCTCCTTATCAGACTGTGAACTCTTTGAATCTCATGTATCTTCATATGTTTGCATCCCCAGCATCTGATGATGACCGAAGAATTGTTTGAATAGGATAGAACAGTTTCTACTGATTTTTTTCCTACCCCCAAAAAATCATGAACAAAAACAACTAAAAATTATTGTTAAAGTTATTCTCATTTTTAATTATAAACTATGAAATAAGTTGGCATTGTTAGTAAAGTTTCATTACATTCATTTATTTAACTATTATGTGTACACGATGCAAAAATGAAAAGATACAATAGGATGTTCAATGAAAAGTGACTCTCCCTGTGCTGATCTCAGCTCCCAGTTTTCCTCCAAAGGCAATCACTGTAAGCAGTTGCTCATGCTTTCTTTCAGAGGCATTGTTTTATACAGAAAAGCAGATAAGATGTCTTCCATTTAAAAAAAAACCCGCACATTAACAAGTGTTAAACCCAGAACCACATGATTATCTCAGACATAGAAAAGCATTTGATAAAATGATGCATCACTTCTTGATAAAAATCCTTGAACACCTAGGCATAGGAGGCACATTCCTCAAAACAGTGAGCCATCTATGACAGACCTGCAACCAACATTTTGCTTAATGGGAAGAAGCTGGAAGCATTCCCCCTAATAGCTAGAACAAGACAAGGATGCCTACTCTCATCCCTCCTATTCAACGTAGTGCTGGATGTCCTAGCCAGAGCAGTCAGGCAAGAGAAGGAAATCAGGGGTATCCAGATAGGAAAAGAGGAAGTTAAGTTATTCCTCTTTGCAGATAATATGATTCTATAACTAGAAACCCCTAGAGAGTCTGTCAAAAACTGATAAATGACTTTGGTAAAGTCACAGGTAATAACATCAGTGTGCAAAAGACAGTTGCATTTCTATACCCCAACAACAAACAGACTGAGAGCCAAATAAAAAACACTCCCATTCACAACAGCCACACAAAAAAATGAAATACCTTAGCATCCACCTAACCAGAGAAGTGAAAGACCTTTACAATGAGAACTACGAAACACTGCTTGAAAAAGCAAATGGAAAAACATCCTCTGCTCATGGATTAGAAGAATCAATATTGTCAAGATGTCCATCCTACCTAAGGCAATCTACAGATTCAGTTAAATACCTATCAAATTACCAAATCATTTTTCACAGACCTGGAAATGACAATACGGAAATTTATATAAAACCAAAAAACAGCATGAATAGCCAAAGCAATTCTCAGCAAAAGCAACAAAGCAGGTAGTATCACATTTCGAGACTTTAAATTTTATTACAAGACTACAGTAACAAAGACAGCTTGGTGTTGTTACAGGTTTAGGCATAGACCAATGAAACAGGACAGAAATTCTGGAAATAAAAACCCTCAACCAACTCATCTTCAACAAAGCCATCAATAACAATCATTGGGGAAAAGAGATCATATTTAGCCAATGGAACTGGGAAAACTGGCTAGCCACATGCGGGAACTGGAACCCTGCCTATCACCATTTATAAAATCAACTCAAAATGGATCAAAGACAAACATAAAGCCTCAAACTATAAGAATCCAGGAAGAAAACCTAAGAAACACCCTCCTGGACATCAGAGTAGGCATTGAATTCATGATCAAGTCCCTCAAAATAAATGCTACAAAAGCTAAGATAGACAGGTGGGACCTTATCAAACAGAAAAGCTTTTTTCACAGCAAAACATCAAAAGAGAGTAATAAAGAGACAAGCCATGGAATGGGAAAAAATATTTGCAAGCTATGCATCTGACAAAGGCCTGACATCCAGGATCTATAAGGAACTCAAACAAACTGAAAGGAAAAAAGTAAACAATTCCATTAAAAAGTGGACAAAGGACAGGAATGTATGCTTTTCAAAGGATGACATACAAGCAGCCAACAGACACATGAAAAAATGCTCAGCCTCACTAATTATCATAGAAATGCAAATCAGAACCACAATGAGATACCACCTAACACCAGTAAGGATGACTACCATTAATAAGTCAAAAACAACAGGTGCTGGTGCAGCATGGAGAAAAGGGGCCTCTGCCACACTGTTGGTAGGAATGTAAACTAGTTCAACCTCTATGGAAAACTGTGGCAACATCTCAAAGAACTAAAAATTAAGTTCTCATACAATCCAGCAATCCCTTTCTTGGGACTATACCCAGAGGACCATAAATTGCTCTGCTAAAAAGACACTTGCACATGCATGTTTATTGTCACATTATTCACAATAGCAAAAACATGGAACCAACCCTGTTGTCCAAAGTGGACTTGATAAAGAAAATGTGGTACTTGGACACAATGGACTATTATGCAGCAATAAAGAAGAACAAAATCATGGCATTTGCAGCAACTTGGTTGCAGATGGAGACTCTCATACTAAATGTACTGTTATAAAAACAAAGATCTGAATACTGCATGTTCTCACTCATAAGTAGGCTCTGAACACTAGTAACATTAGCACAAAGAGGCATCGGGCAGTCACTGGGCACTGCTAAGGGAGGGAGGAAGGGAAATGAGAGGCAGGGGGGCACATGGCAACACAAGTACCTGGTCCACTACCAGGGGGACTATGGGCCAGCTAGAAGCCCAGACTTTACCTGCATGTAGCCTACTTATATAGCAAATCCTCACTTTTACCCCACAACTTTAAAATTTTTTTGAAAAGATACTGTCCATATGTGCACATTTTTCTGTATCTTTCCTGATTCATTTGGCAAATTGTTTTGTAGATTGTAACAAATACATATAGACACACTTTGTTCTTTTTGATAGTTACATGGTATTTCATAATCCATATGTACCATAGTTCCTCTTGAGAGACATTTATTTCAACTGTTTTGCTATTGTAACCAGTTCTGTGATGAATATTCCTGTAGGTGCCCAACTGTAATGTAGAAAAAATTTTTAGATGTAGAATTGCATAGTTAAAGAATATGTGCATTTTAAAATTTTGGTAGATATTGGCAAGTAGAATTTGTACCAGTTGACTGTCTCACCAACAATATACCTGTTTCTCAATATATCATTTTTTAATCATTTTATTTAGCGGTCACAACATTCTGAAATGTAATTCTTCTATCTTTCCTTAAATAGGAAAC